TTGATTCTTTTATTATTTGGGTCGATTATAATTATAGAGAAAATGGCTTAATAATATAAATACAGAAATTAAGATGCAGATTTGAGAGTTACCTTTGGTAGAATAGAATGAGACTGAAAAAGAGAAGACTGTGTAAAATGGAAAGGGTCGTGCATGAAGTACTTTTCTTTTCATTGGTTTTCATAGTAGATTGCATTTTTTTTCTTCTTCTTCTTCTTCTTCTTCTTCTTCTTCTTCTTTTGCATTGCCATCTTCTTCATTTTCATCTGAATCCAAAATTTGTTTTTTGCACTATGCTTTAGAATTACATTTTCCTATATGTATTTTGTTTTTGATTATTTGATAAAGGTTTATTGTCTTTATCAGAGCTCAGAGCAGAGGCCACAGCATTGTTAGATTCAGTCCTATAGTGAATTTATGATTAAATGAATCTTAAAATAAGCACCTTTTGGAGATACAGAATACCTTTAACCCATCAGTGACGGTGTCAGAAAGCTCTTGGTGTCACAGACTCTGGTGATTTCAGGCAACCATCCTGCCGTTTGGCCCGAGAGTCTGCTACATGTACCAGAACTTTTCGCTTGACTCGCTCTTGCACGTTGTGATGCCTATAGCCATATCTAGCATGATGAGTCAGTTTGATATGATGGCTATAGGTGTGGCCTGGCAAATACGGGTTAAAGACCAGATAAAACAGCACTGGTAGCAAAAGAGAATAATTTACAGAAAGTAAAGTTTAACCCTGAGTCACTTCTTATGGATAGACCTACAGCTATATCTGCATTCCTTTAACATTTCCACAAAGAAACAACAAACCTCTATTCTGTTCTATATATTCTGACAAGATAGAGCTGTGTCCAAGGTCTATATTGCTAAATATGTGATGGATTTTTTTTGGCCTTTTCCAGAGACTAATGGCATGGAGACCACAGAGATTACAGAAGTTAGTCCTAGGAGGTTGTAGTATTTTCTTCTAGAATTACCATAATTATCAAAGAAAGGAATAGATATGCTTGGGGAAATAAGGGTAAAAAGGCCTGATTACCAATGATATATGTATTATTGATATCATTAAAATACATTGAACAAAATCTAAAGTATCATGGAAGTATGGATGTGTAGGCTGCAGTACACAGATTCTTATAGACCCTTGTAAATGGCGTAAACAGATAAATAGATACAGATATAGTACACAAATTTATCTTCAGAACAATCTCTCCCTTTCTAAACTGCACTGTTGCTAAATAAGATGGGACTACTTTTTCAAAGATATTAAGATGCTTATTGTAGAAATCACAATAACCTGTACTTGTATAATATTTACTATACTCTTTACAGTTGCTCTCATTGTGAGTGTGTATGCAAGTGTTTATATGTGTGTGTGTGTTTTTGTGTATATACCTTGTGTATATACAAGTAAGTGAAGATGAATGTTGGGTGTGGGTATATACATGTGTATATGAGGTAATTTGTGTATAAGTTGGCCTGTGACCAGTATGTGCATTTTTAACTGTGTGTATGTTGGTTTGCATTTATTTGCAATATGTGTATTGTGTAATTTGTGCTTTTGCTTCTGTGCTTTTGTATATGAGTGTATATATGCATACTTGTCATATATAGTTTGCATATTTTTTATAAGCTTGTAAAAGATAAAGATAATCAGAGATCAAGATGACTAAGTTAATTGGCTGTTTTTACATCATGTTCTACAACTCATTCCCTCATAAAGAAAAATCATGTTATATGGCTTTGTTATAGAAGTTGAGAATATCCTCGTAGAGAGAGACAGACCGACAACCTTAGAGCATTTGTACTGATTCATCACCTGTTATGCTGGGGTTTTCTTTTTGTTAGAACATGTTATGTCACTGAGGCTTGCCATATTATTTATTTTGAGGTTATTATTGTTAATTATCGTTTTTATTATTGTATCACTCTCATTGTTGGTATAGCAATTGGCTGTTTGATTAGCTGTTTCTTGCTTGAATTATGATAATATTGATTATTAAAGAAAAAAAGGATTCATGAAATAAATTAGTTACTGTTTTAAGATTTTTTTATGGCATCCCACAGGACTACCTGCTGGTCAGAAAGGTGTGTTTGGGCTCAGTGTCCTTGAGACAGTCTCTTAAGGTGGTCCCCCCCTCCTCCTCCTCCTCCCACCCTCTCTCTGCTTCTCCTTCTTCTCTGCCTTGCTCCCTTCCCTGTTCATTCTTTATTGCTCTTCTCATTTCTTCTCTTCCTTCTCTTCTCTCCTTCTTCCTCTTCTCTCCTTTTTATTTTTTCCTCAATAAACTTTCCTACCCCGTGTTTGTTTTCTCTGTTTTTCCACCTATTCTTTCTTCCCTCCTTACTTCTTTCTTTTCTTTGTTAGTAAACATTCCTACACCTTGTTTATTTCCACCTGTTATATCATTACCTCTCTTCCCTCCTTCCTCCTCCCTCTTTCCACCTGTTATCTCATTACCTCTCTTCTCTCCTTCCTCCTCCCTCTTCCACC